TCATGCAAACAAACGGCTATCATCGTTACCTGTCATGATACTTATAGAGATGTGACCCGATATGAGAGATGTGACCGATAAAAATCGATATAGACTTCTCTGATGTTTGTGAAATGCATAAATAATATTGCAGAATTTGGGGTAAATTATGAGTTTTTTTTTTAATCATTATTTTAGAAATTTTTAGCCTAAGGCTAGTTCATCTCTAAATTATAAGTACTAGTGCAAGAAAACCTTTGGAATAACCCAAAGTTCTGAACTAATACTTTAGAGCTTTAAGAGATTTAAGCACGGTTATATCGGATGAATTCGATAAAATGGATTTCTCCGACTATAAATCAATAAATCAAACTTGAGAGTATTTTTTGGCAAAAATTGAATTTCTTTCAAACTTTATTTCGTTCCCCTCGGTTTCAGTCACTTTTTCGGTGACAGTGACTAAACGTCTTTTTAATAGAAATTAAACGATCGATTCAACCTCTGGTGATGAATAGGAAAACGTCAAAAAGAGTGTTGTGAGCAGAAATTTCTACCGTGAGACAGGAAACGGAACACTTTTTTACTTTTCTGATAAATTGATTCATCTGAGATGCTGCAAAACTTAATCTACAGTTGAAAAATTTCTGTAACGTTTTGGAAAAGATCCTGCTGGTGTTCAGGAATATTTTTGTTGAGAAAAATGGAAAATTAGAAAAGTGCGTTAGTGGTTATGATCTTCCGGATTTCTTGTGTGTGAATAGTTAAGGTACAAATCAATTCAGATCTGTGGAAAATACAATAAGACAATTACCGATGGAAATTGGCAAGATATTGTTTTAATTTGCGTTGTGAAAAATAGTTATTCTGATGTAAACAAACGGTTTGGTTGACGTTTCTTCTCGAACTCGCGTGGCGCACTCTACGTTGGTGGTGCATTAAAAAGATCTATACACTCAAAAATATTACTAAACAAGGAAAGCTTAAAGTTTAACCAATTTACGGTTTAGCAATGTTTATACATTGATCCGTTTAAATTAATCTTCTTCTTACTAAGTTGGAATAATACCGTGCAATCTGATCAAAGTATACCAAGCTACTTGTTGTTTTATTCAGATTTCTAATCGAATAGCAACGTTTTTTTTTTCGTTTATAAATCAGTTATTTGATTATTGATCGAGTGTTGGAACTTGCAGCAAGAAAGCGAATTACCTTAAAAAAATTGCTCGGGTATGGACGCTAAGCAATTGGTACAACGGTGTCGTTCAGAGTTTACCCAAGTAGGGAGGTGGATGCCATAGGATCATGGATGATTCCGAAGACAATGATGTTCGAAGGAAAAGTATCAACTAAATGAAATGACCTATAAACCGGACAGAACATCAACAACCCTGAAAACGCCCCAAACGACGGACAGGAGGAAGAGCAAGCTGGATTTGGCTATAACTTCCCACCGAGTGAGGAGCAAGTTGAAGAAAAGTGAGTTGGGTGGATTTTCGGGTGGAGGTTTATTTCTGATTAATTTGCATTTTTAGACATCACAGTGGTTCACTACGAGTCGGATTCAGACTTATCGGCAAAGGAAAGCGATTTTGGACCTTTATTGGAGGATGATCAATAAAGAAAGACAATGATGATGAGGAAGAGGAAGAAGTGGCCAAACCAAAACATCCATTAGTATTCCTTTGGGGAAAGCTCCAGACGCATTCAATGCCTGTGACTCAGCAAGTTAGTAGTCGGATCCAAAGCCGCAAGACGATGAACCTAACTATTGTTATACAGAGTGACGAGTATTTCTAATTGCTAGTATGTTGGATAAATCCGGATGTGGCTGCTTCGTAACACGAATTGAACCGACCGAAATTAAAATTACGAACGCCACGGATGCTGAAGAACTACTCGCCACTTGCCACATGGTGCATCAGCCTCAGCCATAGCTACTACTCAAAATTATCTTAATTTTGAAGAATAAAACGGTATACTCGAACGTCTCCATCTTTTTAGTAAAATACCGTTTTTCAGATCAACAAACCAATTTGCTTGAAACTATGTATATAAAACACCCATCTGGCTTTTAAGCACAAAATATACATTCAAGGAAAACTTCGACTTTATACCATTCCATGTATAAACCATTTTTATACTAAGTGTGTATTCTCTCTCTTTATACCGAACTATGCGTCGGTCAGGAGAGTTGCGATTTAGCGCAACTTTTAATCTATTTAGATTTGAAAATATTTTGAGTGTAGACAGTCAAGTTAAAGACCGGCCGACGTGAGTTGACGTATCCAAACAAACTGTAAAATCGTATGAAAACGATTTGAATGCATCGCACGTGTAATTTGATTAAAGATGAAAACAGTGTAACCAAATACATTTTGAAATTTTCCCTTGATTACAAAAGTCTGTTAATATCTGTGAAAAAACTAAAAAGTCTGTTAATGTCTGTAACAAAAAAAAAGTCTGTGAAAATAATAAAAGTCTGTAAATTCACTGACATGTCTGTAAATCTGGCATCTCTGAACAGTACCCAACAATTGATTCAGCGTCAAATAAGCGTATTCGTCGAATAAAAATTTTATAACAGTGATCGAGGCTGAATAAAATTGTGTGTTCAATAATGTGCTGAAGAATCCATATTTTCTTCAAATTCATCGCTCTTATTCCACTTTTTGCGCTCCATTGAACAATAAGCTTTTAGTTCATTTTACAAGCGTTGCGTAACCTTCTGATTAAACGATCCAAAATTTGAACTTTCCCATTTTACTGATAAAAACGTATATTGGACACCCGATAAACGTTTTCCAGCTTCCTTATACGGTTGCATTGGAATAGTTCGGCAGTCTGCTGGATGTTGCAACCTATGATTAAGCTTCAATTCCACTTTTCGTGAGATGCCATGGCGCAACGTCATGTAAACAAACATGGTACTACAGTTTCTGCTTACACAGAGCAGGAAGCTACGGATTGGATTACGGTGAAATATTTTGCTGCTGACCCTTTATTTGATGAAATGGACAGTACAGAAACAGTGAATCGAGTCACTGGTAAAGATGCGTAGTGATATAAAAGCTAGTGGAGCGCCATCGGAATGAATTCGCTAAGTTTTGTTTGGATTAAGAAGATGCAGGCATGCGGATAATTTCGTTTATAATTTTGTAGGTTCACTATCTCCGGGGTAATCATTCCAATGTGGTTTGGACACCGATGCCCTCGCTGAAGACCAAGCAGCTAGCTGAATTAAATGCTGGTCCACTGTACTGGTCGAACCACGTTGGCGGATCTGCTTTCGTCGTGTAATTGATTATTTTTATTTCCAGAAGTTCAGCTCACGGATTCGGATACTGGTACCGGTCATCTGTATGAGTTCTCCAAGAAAGGTGAGACTAAATTTGCAACTGGAAGCGATGGCTCGAGAGGATTTTTTAACATATTCAAGAGAAAACCGGACAAGACGTCAGTGATATATTTGAATCGGTTTGGCATGAAGATTTTTTTTTTTTTTTATTTTTGCAATGCCAGATTCCATTGTCTTGTTCGCCTCTTATGATTTTATATGCCCAGGGATGTCGAGAAAATTTCAAAAACATGCTACTTTTAGTTGAAAACGTTGACCAAATTGTTGACGGTATATTGGGTTCAGCTGAAAAGTATTCCCTTCTGAGATTACGAATATATTATGTTGCTACATTAGCAATCTAGATGCTCTAAAAATCTTTCGCTAGCAAATCAATATACGAATAGTCTTTTGCCAATTCATGCTTATTCACCCATCTACTCTCATCCTATAGCCAGAAATCTTCAACATATTTATCAATCTTCCCTGCATTATAGCTAGTGTCGTTTCCCTTTGACTTGCTTCTTGGTAATATTGTGGAATTAGCCTTGCGAGTGCTGTTGCCATTCGTATTATGTTTTATGTGTAGATATGTTTTTCCTACAATGTTGCAAATGAATACGAAATAGTTTATTACACTAGATGTAGAAGATGACATGTGGTCCACTGCTTCAAAGATTAAAACGCGAGCTGAAAGTGCTTGAGCGCAGATTTCTCATTGACTTTGAATTTACACATGTACTAGAAGTTTTTACACAGCGCATCGTTAGCTTATAAACTTCTAGGAATGCGAAAACATCATTAAAATTAAATGGACTCTAGTATTTTACGACTGTTGTTGTTATGTTGTTATGTATTGTAACGCATGTTAGTCAAATTCGTCTTATATTTTACTGTCTAACTTATCTGAGGAATTGTGATGAGCAATTTTTAAAAGGAGAACATGACACAGAATTAGGTTTCTGCTAAGTTTTGACTAGCTATAGCCCAACTAAAATGCAGCTTTACATGAATTTTTATGTCAGATAATTTTTCTCTTCAGGCCAGCCCATTAAACAAATAGCTTTTCATTGATCGCGTAATTCGCCCAACTAGTGAAATGTTATTTTTTGAGTGAATTTCAGACAGTGGCTGGTTCGTCACTTAGTAATGTGACAATTCTCATGAAAAGAACGGAATAATAAGCATACGGTAGTTTTCTTAAAATTCATCAACTTTTAACACACCCCCAAGATACTGGAATTCATAATTGATTCTTGAGTGGAGTACTTCATAAAAGACGTACTACGCATTGTGCTAAATTTAGAATTTAGCTCAAGCTAAAGGTCCCGAGATCAAATCCTACTACTGGATGAGGGATGAATGACCTAGATAGTATAATAGAAATTATTATAATATACATGCAGAAAGGTATGTTTTAGAAACTGCCCACAACGAAGCTTAAAAATACTGCTACACACTGTTTAAATTGATTTAATTTCAGTCTACATTTCACTCTTCTTACAATTTCACATGTTGTTAGCATGCGAGACTGTATTTTGTTTGGAATGAGGTTTTCAATGTTTTAACTTTTCCGAACATACATTAAGATTCATTCAGCTGACAGATCAAACGCATATCTCAATGCTAGATTGCCCCATTTAAACCACAATCATTATATATACAATTTCAAACGACATATGCTCACCTTTCTTTGAACTTAATTGTATTTAACAAGATCTTATTCCACTCTATGAACGTTCCTTATATTAATGAACGAATAACAAATTCTTATAATTTCACACTGATCACTGAAGCTCTTCAAACCACCTCTGATAATATCACCGTGAACTGAGCACTATGTTTTCATTCACCTCATAGCCAATTGCGCTCGAACACCTCTGGCATGCTATTTCTACCCAGAATACGATGCGTATCTTCTCCTTCCTTCTGATCAATCTTGTCAGACAATCAGCATAATGAACCAGGAAAACAATCGATTTCCTTCAGGACGTTGTCACCACACTACACTTTGGGAGAGTCGTCGGTGGGGAAATAGCAATTAGCTTCCTCCTTCCAATGAGCATTCCTCCCTGGGATCCACCTTCGTTAGCCTTGAGGATGGTTTCAGTATGATAAACACAACCTACATTCACACACACATAGCCCCCCTCCGAACAAACACGCACATGTGGTCTCTCGTTACACAGTTCCGTTTAAAGGAGCGCTATCGTTTAAGTGCAGTGGGTCGTCGTCATCGTCGTCGTTGTTGTTTCTGGTGCTGTTAGTGCCTTGTCGCTATCACAGTCTGGTGCTCCTACTACGTGGTACACTTTCACCGGTTAAGTGGTGCCTTCCTTTGGGAAACGGGGCTGGCAAGCCTTACAAAGAGAATTTAATAATTAATTATACTGCATTCAGAATGCACTCCTGGGTCTTTTTTATTCTTTGGCTTCGTTGTACACTCGCTGCAGAACTGAGCCAAACCAAGACGACGTACTGCCTTACAAACCGTACGGTTCGGTTAACTTTGTCTTCACAATGCTTCGAATTAGTTTTCTGCTACGTGAGTCACACTGTCACACCATGAGCCTCTATTATCCTCTTCTGGACATTAGGAGACTTTGTTTTGACCCTTCGTCTAGCCCCTGAAATTACTACAAGGAAAACTTTTCCCACAACAAGTCGATATAAACGTCATGCTGGACCTCTTTGTTTGGTGTTATTCATTCATTTTTCCATACAAACGGTCCGTACTCCACTGAACGGTCGAGTCTGAAATTTTCCGGAGACAAGAATGAAAAAACGGGCAGCCAATCGATTGACGCGGGCAACCACGCGCGACGACCGGGACACACCGGAGCTTCGGATCCCTCTACACTATCCCTTTGGGGCGATATCTTCGTCTCTACTGGTAGTAAGTTTCGTTTTGTCCGGGTACCGGGTTCAAGCAAAAATTCATTGCATCGACAGTTGTATGCTAACTAAATTATGCTCTAGATTGTGAACTGCGTCAACCCTCTGAGCTTTGGGGGAGCCTTCGTTGGTCGGGCGTCCGTCAGTCAGTCAGTCGGAATAATCTCTGGGAACAGGAGTAGCAAAAGGACTCTCGTGCTAGACTGGCCACCAACGGGATCCGAACAGAAGCCGAAGTCAAGCTTGCGCGTGCCCCGAATGGAACCAACACAATCACACCAGCCAAACCTGCCTCCCAGCTACTGACTAAATGTGGGGTTTTCCACTGCTGCTGGAGGTGATTGGTGGTAAGCGAAAACAGAGAGACAAAATGCTGCAGTCATCCACGGAAGAGTGAGCCACTGACGATGATGACGATGATGATGACAGCGGAAAATCATTTCCAATTCTGCGAAGGAACAGACATAACAAACGATGACTGTGACTGGTGAAGCAGTGGAAATCATGTAGCATGGAGGGTGAACTAAAAGAACCGGTTCAACTTTGTTGTGTTGCATGGAAGTTGCATATCGCTGCGAATCACACGACGTGACATTAATCAACTACATCGTACCGTCTCACAGAGGTAAATACTATAAATTACGATGTCTTTGTTGAATAACATTACAACAACAAAGTCGACACTCCCGGAACATTCACCATCGTTCAGTTCTTTTATGGCTACTACTGAAATTAAGAAAATGTGTTTTCGATGTTTTTCATGCATAAATGAGCAATTCCAGACGGATTCATTAATTTTCGTATTTTTTTATTTGGCTGAAAACTTTCAGAAACGTTTCTCATGACCAAAAATTCCATTTTGCAACTTCAGATGATTAGAGGTAGACAACCTAATGTTACAGTTCGGAATGTTTTGGCTAGACGCGATCTGGAGTTTGTGAAACTTTATGTTTTCTTGAAGAATATTAACCTTGGATTGTAAGTTTGATTAACTTTGTGTTTAGTTTGCATTTTGTGTGTTTGGTATTTTATTAATTTTTGTTTTTGTAAAGAATTTTAAAAATAAAAAACTGGTAACAAGTTGAATAAAAAATAAGTTCATGTTTTGGAAAAAGTGAAATCTCCTCCATTAACCTCGAGACGACCGCGAGTATTCGGTTCAATCCCTGTAACTCTAGATTTAAGATTAGGTTTCGGTATGTACAACGAAAATGATAACTTGGCTCTGTAAATTTTATTCAATTGAGCCTGTACAAACAAATCAATTCATACAAACATTCTCAGACGGAACAAGTCTGTTTCGAAAACATCTGCCATGGCCTTGTAGGACGTTGAAAAAGCGTTCCACAATGTCTGGCATGATGGCCTGGTGTTCAAATTGCAGCAGTACGGGCTTCAAATCTTCCTAGTGAAGATAATAAGCAACTATCTATCAGACAGACATCACATCGGATGCTTTCAACATCGGTGCCGGGGTTCCACAAGGAAGCATCTTTGGTCCCATCCTATTTAACCTGTTCGCCACTGATATACCGGCTCTCCCTGATGGTGGATCGTTGTCTCTGTTCGCAGATGACACATCCATCGTCTACAAGGGTAGGGTCATCGGAGCTCTGACTGCCAAACTTCAGAGAGGCCTGGACGTCCTGTCTGAATATTTCAACAGCTGGAAGATCCGTATCAACGCGGCAAAGACCCAGGTCATTATCTTTCCACACTCTAAATCTAACACTAGACAGCAAGCTTCTTTTCAGGGAGCACGTTGACAAAACGAAAACCAAGCGCAACATCTTGATAAAATCGTTGTATCCACTTATCAACAGGAAGTCAACCCTGTCCCTGAAAAATAAGCTTGCTGTCTACAAACAAATCATCCTTCCTGTAATCGAGTACGGTATGCCAATCTGGGAGAGTTGCGCAAAATGTCATCATCTTAAACTTCAAAGGATCCAGAACAAGATCCTTAGGATGGTCCTAAACAGTCGCCCGCGGACTAGAAATTCCGAGATCCACCTCCTGGCTGGAATTCAGACATTAGAAGAACGGAGAGTTTTCATCCTGGAAAGGCTCAGAGACACCTGTCTGAGATCAAATCATCAGATCATACGTGATCTAGCACGTCAGGTTAAGTTATACTCGTAGTTAGGTAGGTTATCCCTTTTTTCAATTCAAATAAAACACATCCCCAAAGGGGTATTCTATAAACTAGTTGAAAAACGCAAATATTAAATTAGAATATCAAATTAAACAAAGATGGAGAGCCAGGTAGGCTAATCAATTAAAATGATAAATCTATGTACTACCATAATCAACAGAAATAAACATAATTTTACTACTACTACTACTACTACTACTACTACTACTACTACTACTACTACTACTACTACTACTACTACTACTACTACTACTACTACTACTACTACTACTACTACTACTACTACTACTACTACTACTACTACTGCTACCACTATAAAAAAAAAAAAAATAAAAAAAAAAAATTATGATGATGTCCCACCACTTACCCCCGTACATGGGAATTAGTTTGGGTTTATTTATCTATTTAGATAATTGTAAAAAAAAAATTCAATTTGAATTTAGTCATTGCATTTGCATTTTTGTATTTCCATGTACGTCCATCATTGTCCTTATTATTTTTTGCCAATTTTTTTTTTTACATATGTGTCCAATATAGGGTTTTACTGCGCCCCAGATCACGTTGTTTCTGGAATACAATGTCAATGTCCTAGACGTTTGTTCTATTTGGTTTCATCATCTCCAGTGACTGAAAAGTGTCACATATACACTTATTACAACGCTTCACAACATAATATTATCCTTCACAAATGACACACATTTTCTTTTAAAGACGTTCACACTATGTTCTTCTCGTAGGTCCCTAGGTAAAGAGTTGTACAGCTTAACACCTTTGTAAAACAGTGAGTTTTCCGTGGATGCTTTCAAAAATGACGCAACTCGAACATCATCAGCAGATCTTGTTCTATAACTATGAATGTCTCTGCCACGTTCAAGCCGAGATGACAGAAACTCTGGTGCAAGTCCATTAGCTATTTTATGCACCAACAACAGGGTTTGGTTTGTTACACGCTGCTTAACGGAGAGCCATTGTAGTGCATCCAACATTTGCCTTAGCGATGTTCGCCTGTTGCATCTCAAAATGAGTCTCATTACCTTATTTTGCAATTTCTGAAGACTATACATTTGTTGGTTGCTGGCCAGATATATTATCGACGAGCAAAAATCAAAATGCGGTGATATCAGTGCTTTATACAGGTAAACCATACTCCACTGTGTTAACTCATTATTAAGTCGACAAATAACACCGTATTTATTCGCAAGCTTTTTCACTGTATAGTCAATGTAACTTCTAAAACATAGCTTTTCATCAATGATAACACCTAAGTACTGAAACTCTTTGACACATTCCAATGGAATTCCATTTATTTTTCACATTCACACATTCATTATTTTCTGGTTTATTGGATATTATCATGTAATTTGTCTTTGCTACGTTTAATTTGAGTTTTTTATGATTTAACCATTTTGATAGCTTTTCACAGTTCAGTTTTTCAGTAGCATCAATAGCATTGTCGAATGCAATAAATATCACAGTGTCGTCAGCAAATAAATTAATATCACAGTGTTTTAGTATTCTCTTCAAGCCGTTGATGTATAAAATAAATAAAAGAGGCCCCAGTACACTTCCTTGAGGAACACCCGTTTTTGTTTTTTTGGCACTTGATATCACATGTTTATATTTAGTTTTTTGGGATCGGAGATTTAAGTACGATGAAAACCACTGCAGTACAGTTTCACAAACATCATATTTCATTAACGTTTGTATTAGTTTGCTTCTAGAGATAGTTTCAAATGCTCTCTTTAAGTCTTGAAACACAGTAATTACTTTAAACCGCTTTTCAAGATGAGTTTTCCACTTTGCAAGATTTTTACGATACCCTGATTGTTCTGGAATCAGAAGATTATTTTCTGAAACATACTCCAAAAGCTGTTCTTTCACTGTCAATTCCAGCACTTTTTCGTAGAGTGGCAGTATGTTCACAGGCCGGTACTCTTCAGCTTTAATTGTTTTTTTTTAACCTTTTCAATAGGAACTACCAAAGATTCCTTCCATGAGTTAGGAACAACACCATTCATTAAGGACTCATTTATAATTTCTAGTTCCTCGGACAAGGGCTTCGAAAGCATCCTTAAAAATCCTTGTGCTTACTTCATCAGATCCTGATTTATCCTCCAAAGACCACACTATTGACTTCAGTTCTTCCCTAGTTATTGGTCTGAATGCTGAGAACTGATTTTCTGTAAACATTCCTTCGAGTTCCGTTGGTTCTTCTTCGTTATTGATCGATACACTGATTTCTTCAATACTATCTACGAAATATGCATTGAACTTTTCTGCAATTTCGGCATCATCATGTACTTCCGTTTCTTCGAATGTTATAGTCTGTGCAGATCTACTTTTTTGACTGATCATACCCTTAAAGATACGCCAGAGCTCCTTCGTGTTGGTTTTGTTGGTTTCTATGGATTGTTGCACGTATTCCCTTTTTGTTCTTCGTAATGTGCACGCGTATTCGTTACGGTAAACTTTGTAGATTTCCCAAGCACGGGTTGTATTTAGGTGCACATGTTTTGTGTACGCCTGATCCTTCCTACGCCTTATTTCCAGAAGTTCTATGGTGAACCATTTGTTGGCACTTTTCACTGGCTTAAACTTAACCACAACCAATTTATTTACACATTTTTTCAAAACTTCTACCAAACAACTTGCTTTTGTGTGAATGTCATCATTGCACATCATTCCACTATTTTCTCTTATTAATTGATGGAGTGCAGATTGACTGTACTTTTTCAAGCACTTTATTTTCACTACTACTTCGTTTGGTTCGTCGGATTTATCATCAAAAGACATACATAAAGTTTCATGGTCAGATATTTTAAAATCGTGGATAACACAAACGTTCATATCACAGTTCGTAAATATCAAGTCTATCATTGTGCGAGTAGTACGTGTTATGCGTGTGTATTCATGCACAAGTTGCTTAAGGCCATGTGCTTCAGTGACCAGCTTCAATCTAGATGCATCTTGATTATTCGAC